GAGTGTGTGCTAACAGCTAACGGTTGATGTGTTGGGACATGTTGCGCTGTCAGGTGGTGACCAATCACGAATCGTAATTTCTTGACTGGCAGCAAAAACAACCAATCACAGCAGTGCTTCTCTGGCTGGCTCTGTCCAATCACAAACAAGAAGTGTTCTCCCTAAAGGAATACCCTTTCCGTCCAATGTGAAATGCTGTGGTGTTTTCTGAAATGCTGTGGTGTTTTCTGAAATGCTGTTGTGTTTTGTGAAATGCTGTTGTGTTTTGTGAAATGCTGCGGCGTTTTCTGAAATGCTGCAGCGTTTTCTGAATAGCTGTGGTGTTTTGTGAAATGCTGTTGTGTTTTCTGAAATGCTGTGGTGTTTTCTGAAATGCTGTTGTGTTTTGTGAAATGCTGTTGTGTTTTCTGAAATGCTGTGGTGTTTTCTGAAATGCTGTTGTGTTTTGTGAAATGCTGTTGTGTTTTCTGAAATGCTGTGGTGTTTTCTGAAATGCTGTTGTGTTTTGTGAAATGCTGTGGTGTTTTCTGAAATGCTGTGGTGTCTTGCACTTCAGGGCCACCGTAGTGTGTGTATGTGTATATATATGTGCAGGGCCGGTTGTAGCTCTGGGAGCGGAAAAAACATTTTTGACCGTTGGTGCGCATCCTAATTTTCGGCCTAGATGTAACAACATTCATAATTAAGTAAATGTAACACCCTTTTCACCCCGGTTACACTTTTCATTTGCCCTGTACGATGGGCGCTGTAAGTGATGAAAGTGGGGGATGTTGGCTTATCAGGCACCCGCAGCTCACAGCCAAAGTGCGAGTGAGCGTGGGAGCGAGCGAGGGAGAGAGAGAGAGGGTGTTGTTATTAGCATCTGGTGCTAGCGGCTCTAACGGATATAAGAAGATGTTTCTACAACAATGGTGGAGGCTGAGAGGCTCAGTGAGGTAAAGGACTCTGAGTTTGTTTGTAGCCTTTATTTAACCAGGTGAAAATCCCATTGAGATCAACGATCTCTTTTTCAAGGGAGACCTGCAGAGTGTTTAGATAGTTAGCTTTAGTCCAGGGCCGGACTGGGACAATAATGGCGCATTTCCACTACACGGCCTCGCTCGGCCTCGCTCGGTATGGCTAGGCCTCGTTAGGACTGGCTCACTTTATGGCACATTTCCATTACAGTTTAGGAACTGGGGTAGTATCTATAGTAACGCAGTGTAGGCGGAGCCGTGACGTCATCTTCAATGAGAACCCCAGAAAAACAACACAGCCGTTAGCTGTTAGCACTCAGAGCTCACAGCTCCTCATATATGTTCAGAAACTAGACAAAAGTTAAACAAGTACAAACCACAGACTGCCTGTGTCATGGCGAATACAGTCGCTGCTTTATTTATGTCTGTATAGGCCGTTGTTGTGAGTGTGGACGGTCGGAGCATATACTGCGTTAGCTTAGCCAATCTCCATTTAGAAAACAGGCATTTTAAAAGGTTTTTCGCCTGCCGTCTGTCTGCAGACTTGTCAAAGCATTAATTCATGGTTTTTACTAACCGGTATCAGTATGTTGTTACTTCGGCATCATTTTGAAACGTGTATTACAATTAAATCACGGTCAAATATGTCCATCTTGTTGTAGTTGTAGCCCCCTTGCCAGCGATTCTCTCTTTAGTTTAGCATACTCAGCCCGACTCAGCCTCGTTGTCTCTGGCCCTAGACCCACGATTTTATGAGGCCAGAAAAACTGTGAATTAGGACCCGCCGGCCGGTACTAGGCCAAGTGGAAACGCAACCAAAAACGGGCCGCTGACGTCACAGCCCTCTTAAACCGTGCTCCGCGCTGTAGTGGAAACGCGCCAATACACACACCCTCCCGAGCTTGAATGACACTGATACCTTATACTTTTCTCCAGAGTGCCGTGGTTCATTGTTTATTAATGTGTTTCAGCGGCATTTACCGACCGCTGCAGTGCTGCCTGCTCTTCCACGGGAGTTTATTCTCCCGTTAGCTCCGGGTTAGCTCACACGGCTCTAAAGTATTCACTGTCTGACTGTCACACAAGCAGCTGATACATATCCCCAGTTCCCCTTAAGTGAATGTGTGTCAGTCTGAATTGACGCTGTTTGGCATCACAACGCTGTTATGAAAGTTTCTCTGGTATAACATGGGTGATGTTAGCATAGCAACCGAAGCTAAACTGACTACTTGCTAAGCCGTGTTCTACAGGCACATTTTACCGGCGTATTTTTCATTATGATTCTACTTGTGATAGTCGGACATGACAACCTGTGCAGCCCATGTATTGATTCCATCCGATAGCTGCTATAATACAAAACAAAACGTCTGCCTGCTCTCCACAATGATCAATAACAGCGAACGGATGGTCAAAGTAAGGTACAAATAAACAGAATCACACGAAGCCTGGTTAGTGTTGCCTGACTTTATAAAGTGTTTTTTTTTTATAAGTGTGTGGTTGCCTTCTAGTCACTTTGCTCAGCGCTACTGCTTGTAGGCAGGCATGACGAGACTCTTCAGTCGACCCATGTTCAGGGTAGGTGGGTTTAGTTTCCTGCACGCCTCGACGTAAGAGAGACGTAAGCGACGCCGCGTTCACAATACATTACAACAACAAAAAATCGCCAGGCCAGCAGGCCAGGCACTGGATCATTGTAATTTGTAGATGATATAATATTGATAGGGAAAAAGGGATGTTAGCTAATTTATTAAAGGTTAATCTTACCCTATCTCTTACCTTATTGCCTTCTTTTTTTTGTTTTACATTAAGTTACAAATTAATCAATATTTTTGTGCTTACTAATTCATAGTGAAAACCTTTAAGAAAACATTTTTCAAATGTTAACCCTTTTGAAGCCTATTATTCATAATGAATGATAAAACCTGAAAACCTCTTTAAAGGTACACATTTTTACACTCCACTATATTGGAATATTGTATACTTTTTACTATACTGCGATCCACTTAAAATGGATTAGTCCATAAAATAAATTCTATTTTTTATACAATTAAGTTTGTTAGATTTGAAATGAGATCTCAGTAGTAGCCTACAGCAGTGCTTCGAAGTGGGAATATGTAAATCCTTTGTTTCTGTTTCTTTTCTAGAGCTCTTCTCTTGTAGTAACATCTTGTAGCCACAAGAGCGTGATCACACCACGTTGCAGAACTCCAAGAAAACAAGCTCGTCTTCTGATTCCATGACACACACACAAGACACACACTCACACACAATCCATTCACTTTGTGTAGCATGCAACTATTTGAATTCAATAAAAGGGAGGATGGAAGTGATGTTTGGGATAAGCCATGTGTACAGCTTCTTTGTGTTTTAATCAAAAACACACATGTGCTGACTAGCAGGGGAGCATACCCCAAAACAATAAAGCTTTGCAGTAAATGAGAGCTGACAAGAGAACGTTACCTCCACTTCTGTCTCCATGGAAACTTGCCTCACTGGTCATTCTGTGGATATGGATGCTATAGACCAGGGGGGAGCAGCGCTCTGTGTGCATCCATCCACTCAGCACTTCCTGCTCCAAGATTGAATGTCACACAACTGATTTAAATGTATTTCACTGAAGGGAAATTAAAGGTCTCTCGCACTGATGACAATATGCTTTTGGATTCACTTGTAAAATAAATCTTTGGGGAAAAGAGTGTTTTTCTCAAACTGTGACATGTGATCAGACATAAAGCAGCTTTATGTCGCCATACCTTTCTTTGAGTCTCACTCTTGGTAACTGAGTGGTGTGATGCCCTCTAAAGATCTACAGAATGCACACTTTTCTCCCCCCTCTTTCTTTGCAGTAGTTGCATAGCAACAGAGGAGCTGCTAGCTCCAGTTGTGTTGGTGGTGGGAGCGCACTGCACAGGGAGGCACTGGCTCCAGATTAAGCCTGTCTCGGCTTCAATTATGAATGGGCTTCCACTGCCACACAGCCCTTAAAATGGCACCACTCAGGCTGATAAGACATTGAGGAACTCTTTGGTACACTTAACTCTTTTACACCTTTCCCTTAAGGGGGGGGGGGGGGAAGCGGAGTTTGACTTTAATCAGAAGTATTGAACTTCAATGATTAGAGGAAGTAAATGAATAATTAACTGGCGGAAGAGGCATGGTTATGATAAGACCCTTGTTGATGGGAATATGTGAGGTTAATGATTGGGGTCAGTCTTGAGAGCAAATTAAAGAGTCTCCAGTCTCACAAAGCCAGTAAATGGGGTTTATTGTGTGTTGCATGTTGGAGTGGTGAAAGGGAGGGAGGGGGTTAGAAAGAGTGATATGCTCTCTTGTAATCCTTGACTATATTTAACTCTGAACTTTGAGAGGAAAACGGTTAAATTGCTGCTTGTTTGCCCACATGAAGTGACTACCAGTGCTGCAGTGATTAAAGAAAACTACACGCATGAAATGAACGTTTGCACTTCAATAACTCACCTTGAATTATTGAAGGAAACTTTATTCTTCTCGCATGCTTCCACTTACGAAGAAAAACGACTCAAAATGTGTGATGAATTAAAATAAATGAAGGACACTTAACAACAGAAAAACTATATGAATAATCCCTTTCATAGATTCTCACACAACTCGTGCAGTATACATCTGGATTATTCAGCCATACGCTCCCAACATATGCAATCCCAATAAACCCTTACAATAACATTTCTAATGATAAAGTCTCAAGCTTAGAAAGGCGCACTACATGTCCATGCAATCAGATTCAGAAACAGCTTTATGGCCAAGTAGGAAGTAGGAAGTTCCCTTGATGTATATGGCCCATACATAAACACAGCTAAAATCTTAATAAGATTTTAATGAAATTGCTTGTTCATAGCGAAGGTTTGCGAGAAAACGTTTTTTATGTTTTTAAGGTAAGTCATTCATATACATATGGTCATTTTGTTGGTAAAGTATTCCTTTAAATGCGTCACAGTAGTCGACATGGGTTTTATTTATCTGATTATGGTTTAATCCGTGTCTTTTTTAAATGAATAGCCAAACTAATCTTCTGCAACTTGTATTTTTTATTATTGCAACCAACTGGAAGACAATACATCACATAAACATCATTGCAGTTTTTCAGAAAATGGAAAACAAAATAAAACAACATTTATATATTTTTTGCCACGGTATTGGACAACGTTGATATTTACATGTAGTGATGAAATAGGTCTTGAAATCATTCTTTGGCAATATGATTGCACAATAAGGAGAGAATTGAACATTAACTGAACAAAAAACAAAAAAAAACAACTACACCCGGGAGCACTCTGCATCACATCTCACAGATCAATAACAGTTTTGCATTTTGACATCTCTAACCTATGGCTTTCCAATACTCAGACAGTCACTAAAAAAAAAATGGCAGTATTGTAGATAATTTTGTCAGAGAGAGAAAAACAAAACAGAACATGAAAACGCGCATAACGAAAGAAAAATGGCAACTGTATATTTTAAGAGCGTTTCATTTGTATGTTTGGCAGGTTTGAAACTAACACTTGTTTTAAGGGGCTTTTTAGGCAGTGAAGTATATTTCCTTTGCTTTAATAGTATATTTGTGTGTTTTTGCAAGACTCAAAGGTCAGGAGTTCATCCCTCCTGCATGTCACCGAGTGAGTCAGAGGGAAAAAAGGTGGATTTTGTTCCCCCTCGACATGCCTCTTGCCAGCTGAACACGTTATTAGTCACCACAACAGTGGATTGTTGCCACAAATACAGCAGAGTGCTTGACCTGGGCCGCGGGAGCACTCAATGACAGATATCAGAACACACAACAAGACAGTGTCTCCTTTTAGCCTTTTTTTAATATGTCGGCATGGATACCATACAAAATGCGAAGCCAGTGATGCATGCTACAGGTGGCAAAAGACTGTACCGGAGGATGGGACATGCATTTGTTTGCCTGCTTGGCTCGCTGACTATCACTCGACAAAGAAAACAAAATAAAACTTGTGACTGCTGCTACAACCAAACCCAGCCTGATTTTATCCTGAAAAGCTGCAAGTGGAGGGGATTTAATACTTTATGCATTACTGTTTGCGGAATAATAGAGTGGTGCAGGAATGAGTCCTTAAACCCAGGATTGAGTTCGCATTTTTGATTCCCTCGTCTGGAAGTCAACGTCTTTTTGAACGTGTTTTTGGATGCCTAAAATAAGATCTGTGGTAAACACAAGCTTAAGAGATGTTCAGGTTGTGTTTTACGACATAAAATAAGTCAGAAAAAACCCGACTGGTGTCGTAAAAATTGCGATTTCTTTAAAACAAAAAACTACAAATCGTCATCAGGTCGAACGTTAGCCGCCGTTAGCTTAGCGGTAGTGAAGTAAAGTCATGCGAGCGTGATGTAGTTTTCTTTATAGCATAACGTTGGCATTTTACTTAATTTACGCTCTAAAAATCATCAAAGGGGTGTTAATTTGTAGAGATAATACTGCTCAACAAAAATTATACATTTCATAAATGTGTGTTTGCCAAAGATCTTATTTTCTGCAATATTCCACAATCCAATGGAAACATCCTATTGTTTTTTGTCGAGGGAGCCCTTGCTATGACTTCCCGGTCGGCCTACAGAAATACGTCATCACCGCACCACTCTATGGCAGTGTGGTATTTATATCACTTCTGATGCAAAAATGTCAAAGCCCCCAACTGACCCTTGTGGATTTCCATGATATTGTCTTGTAGATTGGCAACATATATTTAAATAAACACCTCCAGACAGAGCTCTTGAGATAGATATGTATACAAGCTTGACATCCACAAGTGAGTCCTTTAATCAAAGGGTACAATACTGTTTGTAAATTAAAAAAAACGATGCCATCTCCTACATTCCTCTTTCTTTTCAACACCTACGTTTGGAGATATGAGGTTCTTTCAAAGTTTCCCATGCCCGTCCGATCCAAACATTTACACTGACTATGCCGATGGGAAAATAAGGACACATGTACATTTACACACAGGAGAGAAAAAGTAAACAATACTGTTATAAATAAAGACGTGAAACGTTCTGACATGTCGGGGGGGACATGACGACAGAGGTACTGAGGGCAGGCAGGCAGGCAGGCACAATGTTAAAGGGTGTGTGTTCCTGGGCACACAAACAAACTCACACACTCTACAGATGTGTTCTGAAATAACACTGGGGTTAACATTGAACACCTAAAAATCACTGTACAGGCAGAAGAAGACGGAAGCCCACCCCTAAGAGGTGATCCAGCTGGCCTACAGAGCCTGAACCCGAAGCCCGAGAGGTGCAGAGTGATCCCCCCCGCTCCTCCCTGAAGACGTGTCTTTGAAAGCCCGCTCAGAGGAAAAATAGAACCCAAAAAGATTCAAACTAAACAAAAAAACAAAGAAAATAAATCCATTATAATCACGGGTATAAGAATTGGCGGCAAAACTTTTTTTCTTTCCTCTAGGATCAAGGTTTATATGAAAATAAGTCATGCTTCATGCTAAATACATTGTTTATCTTACATGATCTTTGAATAAAAAAGATTTGCTTTTTATCTTATTTACAAGCACCCATGCAATATAACTGAGAAAGTCCTGCAGGTCAAATTGCTTCAATTAAGAAAGGAAAAAAATAAAATATTTTCTAACCTTTTTACAGAGTTGCCCGCGTGGGACAAATTGCTTATATCTTTATGAGGGAAGAGTGAGGGTAAACAGACACAAACAGAAATCTAAAAACCCACAGTTCATGTATATAGTTTCTTTGACATTGTCAAATGAATAGGAAGGTGGTTGTAGCTAACTGGTAGCTACCATATCTATACCAAGTGTCTACGTCTATGGACAGAAGTACTGGGGAAGATTCAGGGACGTTTTACATTATGCAACAACAACAACAAAATGAAGGAGATATTGCCTCAGACCCGGCACACTATCCATCTCTATGGTGATAAACATGACCATTTTTTTTTCATTTTAAAATATCTATTCTTAAATACTATGAGTGCTCTTGAAATAAACCCCATGATGCTTCTATTATAAGTGGTGTTAAATAATCTTAAGTGCATGAATATATATCACATTGGGTTTTACAATTATTTTTGACGCTTTAGGTCGTCCTCCCTTAGCTCTTCTTTACCGCTATGCCTTCTTTATATTTTTTCATTTTTTGTCAGCTGTCGTAATCGGCTACATGAAGCAACCTGGTCGCTTTATCTTTGGCACAGTCTCACATTTGTGCTCGTGGATGTCGGAGAAGTGATGCGAGCGAGCGTCCCGGGGAAGAGCGCCAAGTCTCGATTTTGAAAAAGGCTCCGCTGCCGTCGTCTTTTTTTGCTGGCATCACTGCGAAATTGCTACAGATTCACATAGAAACAAACAGGTAAGACAAACAGCCATCCTTTGTGTTCGTGCACTGCGCGCTCCTCAATGTGATTTGGTTTTGTCGCGTCGTCCAAATTAGTGACAAAACATGCGTTGTTGTGGTTTTTTTTATGGCTTTCATCCCCTTTTTAAACAACGAAAACAACAGAGACACATGAGAAATACCCATCGATGTTAGTGTTGCTGAACATGTAGGAAAACATAGATTTTTGATATTGCCACAAATAAGTAGGATTCACCTAATGCCCTGCAGATAGAAAGAGGGAGATGAGACTTGTCCGTAGAGACTAATGCTGTAGTTACCTGTTGACCTATTTGTGTATGTGTGTTCATGTGTGTGTGTGTGTGTGTGTGTGTGTGTGTGTGTGTGTGTGTGTGTGTGTGTGGCGTCCGTTTTGCGTGACTACGTGTGTGTTAGTTTCTCAGGGCCTCTTTCTGCTCCTTCTGGCCCTTGGCGGTGCGGTTTGTGATGTTGTTGAGGCAGGCTCGGACCCCCGCCAGGTGGAGCAGTGACCCTGCCGCCTCCTTCATCTCCTCGTCGTCGCTCTCCGGCGGCTTCTCCACCGCCGCCGCGCGCCGCTTCTTCAGGGGCAGCGTGTCGCTAATGCCCCTCGCTCGGTTTTTGGTCCACAAACTGCTCCCTGCCAGAGTCCCAGCGCCCGGCCCCGAGCTACGTCTCTGTCCGCGCAGGGACTGCTGGGAAATGTAGTTAGCAGCGGCGGCGGCGGAGGTGATGTGAGAATCTAGCGGGATCTCCCGGGGCTCGGGTTTGACGTCCGATTGGATCTCCACTGCGATGATGTCGTCGTCGTCGTCGTCCATCCCGGAGGAAGGGGAGCAAAGCCTGCTGGGGGATTTGGCGGTGCTGTAAGTGTGGTCGTCCTGGAGGTCCTCGCTGCAGAGCGGCGGGGAGTAGCGGGACGGGCTGTCCTGTCCTCGGCTTAGATAATCTCCCAGGGATGATCTGTATGAGGCAAGGACAGGAGAAAGTGTTACTGCCAGCCAGGTGGCCCGCTGCACCCCCCCACTCCACCGAGGCTCTGCATTTGGCTGCAAAGCAAAAAGAATCCATGTGATAATCTATCAAACTCAAATAGCCCCCTAGGGCCTAATGTGCATATTTCTCAGGTCAGATTCAAACCTACGAAAAAGAGAGTCAGCCTTCCCTTTTTTTTCTTTTTGGTGAAATGACTCATTCTCAGATTGCCACCTATGCATTTTCCTCATGACACTGTGCATTTTGAGCACGCTCCCTGAGGTGCTGAAACATGCTGAGCACATAAAGAAGCTTTTGAAGTGAGGATGAGGATTCTGCAGCCGTTTAACCGCTATGCGCTTTGCATCAGCCGCCGCATTACAGTGCAACACATGTTGTTGCTCTTTTAGTCAGGAGACACTTTTCTCTGTACGGAGTTAAAGGACAGGGGTGTTCTCTGACAAGCGATACATCTAAAAGGAGCTTCTGCAGCCTGCCCTGTACCCCTGGACATTTCCCCCCACCCTCAGAATAAGAGTTAGCATATTAATATCTTATAAGAAAAACATGCACCCCTTACAGTGATCAAATATTCACTGCATACCTTTAGTGAGACTTTGGCTATGTTTAATTCATTGTGCGGTGCAGGCCATCACACTCTTGTGCTGCTATGATGAATGTGCATGTCCAAGCATGCTCCGGATGTTCTTTGAATCATGAGTCCTCTCCCTCTAATAAACCTGTTTGTGTGTGTTTTTGTGTGTATGTGTGAGACCGTTATATAAACACACCTGGATGAATTGTCTGGAACAGCCAGGAGCATGTGAATGCCTCTGACTTTTGGACATAATAAAGATGTAATTATGTAAACTATCAGTGGAAAGTTTTTGGTGCAAGGTCTGTTTTGTGTACGCGTGCATATTTGTGTTTATTTGAGAGCTACTGTGTGTGAGCTTGTGGGTGTGTCTGTATTTGACAGAACACTTTAAAGGGGCCCTATTATACTTTTCTCCTGTAGTGTGTTATATAGGTTTGTGTAGTTGTATATTGTAAATCCTCCCAGAGGGAGTTTCTCACCCACACACTTCCCCCCCCCCCCTGCCTGAGAAGCCTCCATTTGACTCCTTTGTTTACTTCCGTAACATAAGGACATCACTACGTAACACCTTTGCTTCTAATGGTTAGCACTCGAAAGCACTTTAAGTGGTAGGCTAAGGGGCGGGACAGCTCTAAGCGTTTGACAAATCACAACACAGCCGGCTAGCTAACCAAGCAGACTGCTGGGCTCTGGTTTCAGACAGAGGGTGAAAGGAGGTGCTGCAGTATGTTTAATCAAGTAGAGGATCTGAGTACTTTTTCGGCCTCTGATAATACAGTAAACAGGAGAAAAGTAAACCCACCTTATGGCTGAGGTTCTGCTCCCCACAGGGCTTACAGGTAGGGGTCTTATCACAGGGAAGAGTGCCTGGCTACGGATACGGGCGCCATTTTGGATCACACCACGGGGAACTAAAAGAGAGAGAAAAAAGCACTTGTTAGAAGTTATACACACAGATACAAACCACAAATCACATGCAACACAAACATCAGTTTCAAAGTAGGAAGGAAAGATTCTTCAAGACCCGATCGGACCTAGACTAGACCCCGGGAGCAGCTCAATGAGACTTCACTGGCTGTCTGAGGAGGCCAACAGGGCAATATTGATGAGCAAGGCAAGGTTAAATTGAGCGGGAAAGCGTCATAAATGAGTTAAGGCCGCTGCGAATCATTCAATTACGAACGACCGCTGGGCTCGGCTGAATCCGGCCTGTCTGAGGCTGTGGACTGAGCAGCAGGCAGCGAGAAGTTAAAGGGCAATACCGCACCTTTGAAAATGTGCAAGAAATTACACATTTGTCTTTGAAACTTGGATAAAACTCATACAATGACATTTTTTTAGTGAGCCATACTCCAAATTCAAAATGTATACCTTTTATTAGTAGTATTTGAGTAAGATTCTTTCCACTTTTAACCTGTTTATTATTTTCTCTATTTCAATACGATGTGATTTGAATAGGCAAAAAACAAGGAAACTTACTTCTAACACAACATTGCAATCAATGAGGACAATATGTTTAAGAATTGTTAACCTAAATTAAACCTGAGATTAAGATTGTCAGAACAAAGTAAAGTCTAAGGAGCCCAAAATCATCAATCAAAACCCCAAAATGTTTAGTTTAATAACATTGAGAGGCCAGAGAAATGGGGGCAATCAATTATTACAATTCTTGCCGGCTATTAATTTCCAGTCAAATAATTGTTTTAGCCCTAATTAGGTACACCATTTCCTTTTACCTCTATCAATGACACTCTGACTTGAAGGTGAACAAGATATGAATTAGAAATGCATCTGTATAAATCAGTCCGACAGCTTACTAAGAATGACAGAAAAAAGTAATGCCCGGACTGCTTCGTTGAGACATAGATTTGTGACAGAAACATTTCCCAGGAGCACAGTGGGCTCCATCATTAAGACGTTTCCAGAAATTGTCCATCTGGTCAACACTTACCAGGCAGAAAGGGCCTTGGTCAGGGAGCAAAAAGGAGAATAAATGGTCCAATGGCCTTGGTAACAAATTGTCAAGGAAACTGGAGAATCTACCAGAAGGACAACTCTCCAGTACTCCATCTAAGAGCCATTTCACTCTGCTGAATGAACAAGCATATGGCAACCCACCTGGAGTTTACCAAATAGTGCTTTCTCTGATCTAATGAGACAGAAATTGAGTCCTCGGGTCTGAGATTTCAACCGGGAAAAAACACATACTGCTTATCACCTGGTGTCACTACGCTGCATAGCACGACTTTGGCTCCATCATATAAAACACAGCCGAGTACAGACAGGCCCTCGAAGAAAAATGCAGCGAACTGGGATTTGCCTTCCAGCAACACAACACCCCGAAGCACACATCCAGGATAATGGACTGGCTTTGGAACAAATCCCTGAATGTCCTCGAGTATCCCCACCCAAAGCCTGGACTTGAAGCCATTTGAAAATCTGTGGGGAGACCTGAGGATCGCAGTGCAGCAACACTCCTAATCCAATCTGACAGCTGGTAGACGCAGGATTTACAGCTGTAGTCCCTGTCAATGTATTCTGCATACTGTAGTGACATTTCAGTTTGGATTTTTAATACATCTGCACCTAAGGAATAGATCGACTTACTGGCTATGGCGAGAAGATAGATACCACTCTTGTGTGTGTATGCTAAACAACAAGCTAGAGGTAGCAGCCAGTTAGCTTAGCTTAGCATAAGACAGGAAAAGGTGGTATGTGTCACTTCTACACCTTTTTCACAGATTAAACAAACAAGATATAATGTGTTTATTAGTAAGCTCTTAGTGTGCCTGGATACATAATTTTGATATATTTGGACAAAGCCAGGATAGTTTCCACAGACTCCCATCTTTATGCTAAGCTAAGCTAACAGGCTGCTAGCTGAAGCCTCATATGTGCTTTACAGTCATGGCATGAGTGGTGTCAATCTTCTCATCAAACTCTCAGCAAGCTAGTGAATACACTTATTTTCCAAAATGTCATACATTTTTTTTAACATTTGTATGTTTTCACTATTTCATAATGAATAAGGATTGTGAGTAGACCAGTGTGAATAAAGAACATTTTAAGAATTCAACTTGTGATGCCATAAAGATTTAAAATCAACTTGACATGGAATTAATTTAACCTTCCATTGTGTCCAGGGGGATTTCTGATGACAGTGGAACATCTTTCTGGTTCAGAACTGTCTCAGTATTAAAAAAAGAATAACCCTTTTAAGCACCATCAGATAATAGCTTTTTCTTATTCAGCTTTATATTTTCCATCAAGGTCAAAGTCATGATTATGGTTTCCTACTCCCTGACCATTTAAAAAAATACTGAATGGACTGTTAAGCTCCAGAAGGGAGATCTATGTGGATGCTTTCAACTCTGCAACAGCTGTAAATCTATATCTATATCTTTATTGTCTGTGTTGCAGAGGAGAAGAGAGGTGAAAAGGAGAGTGCGTGTGTTCATCTGAGCCAAAAGCTCTCATTACTCAGGGTCGACGAATCACCACCACCGCCATCCCATGCAGCTCAGTAAAACAGCTGTCATTTTCATCTCGGGGGTCAGTTTGCATTTTGCACATGACGACCTGCTGTTTGCTTATTCTGCAGCAGAAGCAATATTTAACTATAGCTGAATAAACTGTAGCTTGAATTCTAGTTTTATAAATCTCAGTAAAAAAAGTGGTGCAGTGATGATGTATTTTTTAGGTGGCCCCGGAAGTTGGCATCGCAAGGGCTCCTTTGACAAAAACCAAGGGGATTTTTCCCTTGGATTTTGGAATATAGCATAAAATAAGATATGTGGCAAACACAAGTTGATGATATTGACACATTTGTCCAGAAGGATAATCGCCGCATATTAAAATATTTTTATAACAGTTGAAACGTAAATGCCGGAAGTAAAAAGTGAACGTTTGGCTATAAACAATATACATCAGTCGCATAACTTTGCAACACTGCTAAGCTAACGGCGGCTAACGTTTGACATGATGATATTTAGTAGTCTTATTTAGTCACTTGTTTGCAACCACCTTTTTGTGACACATAGAAGCTTCAGAGATTAAGAAAAAAGTCTGTTTACTGACATATTTCATCTTAAAAAAAATGCCTACTGTATATTACCCACGGACATTTTTTACAGGTATATAAACCAAAAACCTGTTGAAAAAAAACATTCACTTTGAGATGAGGGAAGTCATTCCTGCACCACTCTATTCATGATTGATGATACGAGGATACATGTAATTCACCCCAGGAACCGCAAGCTCATTAAAACATACAAGTTGTCCCGGCGAGGTCCCCCGGAAAACACTCCCACAACGTGTATTTCTTTCAACGGAGCAGATGAGTTATGACGGTTGTGTTTGTCGTTTGTTATAGTCGGTGTGTTGCTGTAGCCTTTCCCCTGGCCGGCTGTGTCCACAGTAATCTTATTGACTCCAGTTAGTGCGGCCCGGCCCCTGATATCTCCAGCTCTGCTCTCCATAACCTTATAAGTAGGTCCCTGCACAGAGTCTCTTTTGTAATCTTGATAACTCGCTGCATGGCCGTGTGTGTGTGTATGTGTGTGGGCAGTGCATTAGGTCTCCCCGGGTTGATTTGCCTCCCGCCCCTCCTTCCCCACCTCGCTCCAGTCAGGCTTTGGGTTGCCATAGCAACGGCTCCCCTTCCACATGCCACAGAGTAGTAGATCATGCATCAGCAGAGAAAGTGATAGAGAGAAGCAGAGAGAAAAGAAAAGGGGGAAAGGAAATACCGAGCTCTGTTTGACATGGCCTCTCATAGCTCAGCGACACACTCCTGACCGCCACTGTTTACCCTAGATAGACACACACACCTAGCGCAAGCAACTCTCCTCTTATGTGCGTGTTTTATATCTCCACCTCCTCACGTTGGATTTTTCTCAGCAAAGCCCTTCTCTTTGTCTTTCTAATTCCGTCCCCTCCTGTTGATTTCCTCCCCTTCCTCCATCCATCTCGCTTCCATCCCATGTACAGTGGTGACTCATCTTTCCCACTGAGCCATGCACGCCGGGCCCCGCAGGTGAAAAGCCCGGGACATATGCTAAGGAGATGAGGTGACAAACTAAATGTGGGGGGCGTGGGGGGGTAGCATGGCAGCGCTGCCAAAGACCGTCCTCACTCACTGAGATTGAGCTATACATTTTACAAGCTGAAAGCAAGGAAGAACAACAACATTCGGCTCTGAAAGCGGGAAAGCGGGGCGCACTTAGGGAAGGGAATTTAAATACAGAAGAGGAGCGGTGTCTGTCCGGTTCTCCGTCTTTTTGTTTCCTGGAGAGAAAATATCCTCTAGGTTGTTTTCCCATGTCTGGTCAGCTGCTCTGCCTTTCTGTCTGCTTCCTACGTCTTCGTCTGCCTGTTTTCCTCAGAACCCCCCCTCCTCTCGGCTCTCCTGTTAAATGAGTTCCACATGGCCCTGCAGGCTGCAGTCTCCTCTCAGGCCGGCAGAGGAGCGGAGCAGACAGGCACACAAACACACTCGGTCCAAAAGTTCAAAGGTCACTCCCAGCAGAGAGACACAAGTGGCCTCTCTCTCAGTGAAACACCCCCCTCATCCCCCCCACCCACCTGTTTATCTGCCGTGTTGAACAGAGTACAGTCTGAGGGCAGGATGCATACTTATGGTGACCGACTGACTGGCTGCAGATTAGCTGGAGGGCTAACTGGCTCATCAATTTTGACACTCCAGCTGAGTGTCTAAGAGGCAGGCTGACTGACATGTGCAATGATTTATGGGAATGGAATCAAGTGTTGATTAATAAAATCAACACTTAATTAAGCAACACTTAATTAAGCTAAGGTAATAAACCTTTTTAACAGGATTACAAACATGGGTCATATAAGGCTGCACTATGGATGTATTGTATATAGGGACTAATTGGAGGGGGGGCCTCGTTCATTCAAATGAAGTTGCTCAGTGGCACATGAAGCCAAAATGGACTGAATCCGAGTATGATTTCTTTTTCAATCTGTCAGGGATCTACAACGAATCCCCGCCTCTAATCTGCTCCGTTTAGATTTAGCTAAAAAGATATATATACGCTGATGTCTCTTTTCCTCACTTCATGTTGCATTGACCAGAGTGAAGTGTTTTGCAAACAGAGAAACACTAGTTGTTGATTATATTTTGTATCATTATTCTAAATCTTAGTAGTGTAAATTAAAGTGGACTAGACGTATAAAGAAACAGGAAATTAATATGCTCAGTAGCTGAAAATGTTATTTAAATGTACGTAGTTACTGACCACCACTGCCAGCAGGAAACCTGCTACTACATCACAACTGGTTAACTTCTTTTTTTCTATTGATGCCATTTTCCAGTATTTATGGAACACTTTCATATGATTTCTGAGTCTATTCCCTAAACTTATTTAAAAAAATCAAATCTTTGACCTCCTGTTTGAGCTGAGTTGATTTGGGCTCCTCTGAAATCTCAAATGTGCCTGGAAAATCTAAAAGAGAATGATTTTACCCGTGAAGTTGAGTTTTCTCGTCACGATGTGTTTTCATCTGCCAGTAACTGTAGCACTGTACTTGAATACAGATATAAGGTTCTTGTAGGTATTTCAGTTCATTTAGACTCTGTACTTTCCTACATTTTATGGTTTAAATGGGGGTTGCACGGCTTGGGAAAATGACTAACTGTGATTATTTTTATTGATATTGACTATATTTGCGATATGATTTGCATAATATAGGGAATCATCTATTTGAAACATAATTGACATTATCATTTAAAAAGTGATTGATAAAAAGTTAATTTTCTAAGAGGATCGTTTGTAGGCCGAAACTGTGGGCCGAAAGCACCTCAATACGTGATTCAAATATTTTCACATATTTTGCCTGAACCGAAACGTTAACTTTAATTAACTGTATTATGCCAACAGATTCCACATACTTGTATTAGGTCCGTTGAAAGCAATACTATTAAGTTTAAATAAAACAATATAAGGTTCAACTTCATATTTTGCTTTCAACTAACCTAATACAAGCAAGTGGAATATGTTGACATTTAATTAAAGTCAATGTAATAGTTATTTCAGTGTAGTGTGCAAACTGCATTTTGCACTAATCCATAATGCGATAAAACTTTGATTGATTGTGAAATGAATTGTGCCATAGGTATAATACTGGATTGTTGTTACTGATGCATTAACATCCAAGCAGTATTCTACTGTAGCTAGGTAACATTTTAAAACTTGTGGGAAGTTTGACTTTTTGTAGAAAAATGGATTGTATCAAATCAAATCAAATCAAGTTTTATTTATATAGCACATTTAAAAGCGATTTTTGGTCGAGCCAAAGTGCTGTACATGTAATAAAAACACTTTACTACAATCAAAATAAAAGACAATAATTTACAACAGAAATATAAAAAACAAAAACACAGGGAATAGTCAGGTGTCATGCTCCGCTCTGACTAAAAGGCCAGGGAGAAGAAGTGTGTTTTAAGTGTAGATTTAAAAACCCCTAGGGTCTGGGCCTCCTCACATGGAGGGGCAGACTATTCCAGAGCCTGGGGCCAGCTGCTGCGAAGGCTCGGTGTCCTCGGGTTTTGAGCCTGGTCTTGGGCACTATCAGCAGCAGCTGGTCAGCCGACCTTAAGGCTCTGGCTGGGGTGTAGCGATGGAGGAGTTCGGCTATATAGGCCGGAGCCAGCCCATTTAGGGCTTTGAAAACAAATAAAAGGATTTTAAAATCAATTCGGAACCGAATTGGAAGCCAGTGTGGTGAGGCCAGAATTGGGGTGATGTGGTCACGCTTTTTGTGGCCAGTCAGAAGACGTGCAGCTGCGTTTTGGACTAGCTGCAGGCGTCTAATTGAGGCCTGGTCCATACCCACATACAGAGCGTTACAATAGTCCAGTCTCGAGGTCACAAAGGCATTAATAACCCTTTCTAAGTCTTTAAAAGATGAATACGACTTGGTTTTGACCAATAGTCTTATTTTAAAAAAGCAGGATTTGACTACGGTGCTGACCTGCTTGTCGAATTTAAAAGTGCTAGTGAAGGTCACTCCAAGGTTCATGACAGAGGGGAGGATGTTTTTATTGAGAGAGCCCAGAATATCAACCGGAGAGGCTGGAGGTTGGGGTCCAAAAAAGATGACCTCTGTCTTGCTCTCGTTGAGGCATTGTATAGTAATATGATCCTTACAAGATCAATTCATAACAGTGTAGTAGAATAGATGATGGGTAAAATGCATAAAGGAGCATATAATGAAATACTCTAGTAAGTACCTTAAAATGTATTTCTCAATACTGCCCGTTAAAAACCTTTGTTGTTATAAGGTCTGATTTGTATTAACAATACATTAACAATACATTAACTACTGCTATCTAGCTACAAAATAAAAAAGCACAACAGCCCAACCTTGTCTGCAGTCCGAGTAAAATATTCAGACTTTCCTGTTCTGTTAGTTTTAAAAGGAGTATCATTTTCAAATGTGACTCAAGAGAAGCAGGAACTCAAAGCGGTTGTGCTGTGCTGATATGCTGCAATCAAACATTTAGAAAGATGTTTCTATTAACTTGGAAACAGCCCACCTCTGCAGTTGACAGGTTAATAAAGTTTCTAAATGAACGCATAGGGCTTCTCTTTTAAATTACAGCAGGTACTTAAATAAAAGAGAAACACTTGGGAGAGATCCTGTATAATTTAGAGCTCCTGAATGATGAACTCTGGGCGGATGGTAAGGATTAAGGACACAGCTGCCAGGCCACAGGGAGAGGCACATCTCACCCACCCCGGCTCTGAGAGCTCTGGGAACGGGAGATGGAAGTAATAACGGAGGCACTAACAGCCCCGAACTCTTCCTGACAGCCCCCCCCCTCCCTCATCTTTTTCCTTGTCTTTGCCTCTGGCTGTCTGACACAACTTTCTTTCTTTCTTTCTTTCCCCTCGCTGCCTATGAATGTCACGCCCGGCCATTCCGCACCCTTTCAAAAACACGTTTAAAAAAGTTTTCCCCGTGCTCTCCCTCCGTCTATCTTTCTCTCTGTCCCGCTCAGACGCATCACTCTCACATAGTCTAGAGGGAGTCCAGGTTTCCAGACACTCCTCACTATCCTCGGCTCCTTGACCATTACTACTCCATTATCAGCGGCGATGGAGGGCGCGCCGCAGACGCCTAATGTATCCATTTCCCCCTCCATTTAGAACTCGGCAGCCCAGTGAGCTCCTGGAGTGCTCCCTGATTGGGATTGAATGTCCATTTAAACTGCCGTCCAGCCACCAGGGAGGAGGCAGGGGGGGTGGGGGAGGAGAGGAATAATGGGAAATACAGGGAGAAGGAGGCGTTCAGGAGTAAAAGTGTTGAATGAGGAAAGGAGGCAAGGGGATTGCCTGATTTGAATCAGAGTTTTCTCCCCCTTTCTTTTCTTTCCCTCACTTGCTGTGTCTCCATCACTCCTTTTTAACTTTCAAACACGCCTCAGTCGAAAAAAAAGCTCTCCTCCTCTGGCGCCGAGCCAAGTGTCAGAACTCAGCACTCGGTATTCTCAAGGTGCGCTTCTAAAAAGAGGGATTTGGAATTGAGATGATTGGAGTTGGCATATCCGTAGAGAGTGGAAGGGAAGGGAGGGAGGAAGAGGGTGAGACAGACGGAGAGAGAAAGAAAGAAAACAGAAGAGGCGGGTGATCACACACACACATATGTAGAGTACAAGACTTGAGGTGAAACCGTACCTTGTAGGAGAACTCCTCCGTTCTTTCTGAAGAGGGGACTTCCCGACCACAATGGAGGACTAGAAAAGAAGAAGAAGGGATAAGGAGGGCAGGGAGGGGAGAGAAAAAGATAAAACTGGTCAACCATTTGATCATGTTGCAGCAGTCAAAGCAGCCCGGCGGGCTTCATCACGAGGCAGATAGCAAGGCAGGAATTTGAGCCCATAAGCCAGTGCTTCTGATTATAGTGATTAGATTCCCGGGTGTCCCACTGTTGCCATTATTCCCTGTGATTACCTCGGAGAATTACAGCCTCGCCGCTGTAGTCCATGGGGGTAATTTCTCATGACAAACCCCCACCGCCTGCCACTAGTCCATTCACACACATGAACACAGAAGGAAAAAAAAACTCTTGTAAAACGCACACACATTTAACACTCGTGTCGCGAGTTTAAGACAGACACACGCGCCGAGGAACACGCACTCACTTTAGGTGATCATTGCACCACTAATGAGGGAGGTAATGATGGCATTTCTCACGGAGGCATCTTCACTCATACGAGCGCACACACACGCGAGAAGACAATGGATACAGTTCTGCTGGTGGATCCATTATTTTAAAAGGAGGAAGATGGAGGGATAGAGGAAAGGAGGAAGAGAGAAATGGGGGGGGTGTAAGAGCTTTTCCAGGTTGAGTGGTCTTTAGCTCCACATTAGACAACACGTCTGACTGCTCCTCTCTTTTTCTCACAGGCTGTTCTCAAATCATCGTGTGTCTGACAACTCTTGGTCGTATGTACACACACACAAACACGTGCAAAGCAGACAAACAGGAGAGGGAACACCTGGGGACGCTGTGAACTCTGAGAAAAAAAGAAAAAGCAGCCCACTCGTTCCCACTCATCAGGAGAGTTCCCTTTGTAATGCGAGTCCTGTTTTATGTTGGGCTAAGCTGCTGAATGAGAGGATTTGGACGTCTGCACTTGTGATGTGGCTCTCACCTCACCAGATGCAAGGGGAGAGATGGACACACACACTCTGTCACTCACTCACACACACACACACACTCTCACACTCAGACTCACGCACTAACTCTACACGCACACACAGACATGGCAATACGCAAAAAGCAGCGAACGCAAATTTCAGCCCTGAGCCACCTGCTGTTGCCATGGAGAGTTGCCACATTGGGTTGCCACGGCGATAACATATTTTTCCTGCGCTAACAGCCTGTCTGTTTTCCCTACCACCCCACCCCCCCCCTCTCCCTTTTCTCACTCTTCCTACTTGCGCCGTCTACCCCCCCCTTTTCCTCTCACCCGACAAATGGCTCCACGGCGCGACAGCACCTGCCTTACACTACATGTGTTGCCATGGCGGCGTTCCCGTTCCCAAGGCAACCCTGTGCATTTAATGTAGTGGGCGAGGGGCTAAACTCGTGGCTCGTTCTGCAACCCCCCCCCTCATCCACCCATAACGTCTTTTTTTATTTTATTTCTCCAATGAGGGGGGTGAGAGAAAGAAATAAAGAAACAGAGGGGGGGGGGGAGAAAGCTCCTTCCCAACCCCCTTGAGACACCCTTCCCTCCTTCCATCCATCCCCTCCTCCCCCCCCCAGCCTCCTTCTCATCCAGATGCTGATGGGGTGTGAAGGAATGCACCATGGAGCTGACCTCCTACCCAGCATGCTCTCTTCCTCCCTTCCACACAAACAGCCTTGCATGTGTCATCCACTACACCCATTTGTAAATGCATGCATAGGATACAATAACCACACACACGAGATGGACCTGTGAGTTATTATGGTCCATGAAAAAGCAAGAGATGTGAGCGACGACGAAGAGTATTGTAGTATATATAGTCTCTCTCTCTCTTTCTCTCTCTCTCTCTCTCTCTCTCTCTCAGAGCGTAGAACTGCTTGAGACGGTCCTTGACACGGTGCAACCACACCGTCATTACACTTCATAACATAATATTCTTCAGAGTGAGAGCTCTTCAGAGATATTGTGATAGACTGATTGTACCTTCTGCGGTCAAAGATACGTAAAAAAGGGAAACGGTTCATCTTCCACAGACAGTAAAGAAAGAAAATGCTTTTGTATTGAAGGTATATAATGAGGCGTGTTTCTTTGTTTCGCATTACTTTTAAAGAAACAAGTTTAGTTTTTGGAGCAAAGTACATATAACAATAAATAAAGAGTTAACATTTTTTATCTTTCATAGACAGTACATTTGATTTAGTGATTTGTTACATTTATACCCTACTTTACTTAAAATTCAAACTGTAAGACTCAATAATACATGCCTAATTTTATACAAATAATTCGTTTTTACCTCAAAGTTTTATGTGATGACCTTTTAAAGTAAATTGTTACGTTAAATATTTGAACATTGTGGTTGTTAAATGATTTACCATGAGTATGAATGTTAACTGAATTGTCTATTTTAATGTATGGCACACTGAACAGTATATGGGATCAAGTTAAAAGTGAAGTTTGTTAATGATTTAAAAAAAAAAAGAAGACCCCATAGCTTTTCTTTTCAAAGTGTTCAGTCGTATCCCATGGCCTTCATCCTGTCTTCATTATATCTATCGTTGATGTTATTTTTTGGTCAAATCCCTACTTTGCATGCGCATTTTCCACAGCTGTGATCTCCGGGCTCCAGGCAATACGCACTTCTTTGTTGTCTCAAGTCAACAAAAGTGCATAAGCAGTTGTCGACATTGCCCCTATTGTTGCGAGTTATTAAATATAACTTTAAAGAGTAATATTCATTATCCCTAGCCCATAAAACCTTGATTTCCCCTTTAATGTATTACTTTAAGTGGCTTTAAAGTAAGAAAATACTGTAAATTATTTATATTAAGTGCGGTATTTGAACGCCGTACAAACCAAAGATAGCATTATATAAGCTGCTGTACCTTTTATTTAGTTATTGTTTAATACCTCTGAATATACTTTATATATAGACATGTGCAAATTAATTGACTATATTTCTGTTTTCATTAAATTTTATTAATTTGCAGTTCCTGTCTAATTTTATTGCATTGTTTTATATCTTATCCCTTATTTAACTTGCACTTTTTTATATTTATGTGTTTAAATTATCATTTTTATACATATTTAATCAGCCTGGTTTGAGGCAGCCTTAAGATTTTGATTTCCAACGACCACTTCTTCATGCTTGTCGTTCTTATGATGAATAAATAACTTTTTCATTGTTGTGCCATTACATCAAATGGAATGATTACAGATGTCTGGGGCCTACTCTTACACACGTTTTCCTAATACAGCCCGACGTGTTTAATATGTTTGGGACCCGGCGCTGTGGATCCAGCAGCTTTACTGACGATGGAGAGGTTAAAGGAGCATACAAGTGGTGTTCATGTTTTAGCCCATTAGCAACAAATTGTGCATACTGTACATGCTGTGCGCCTGCTTTAAGTCGCTGTTGGCCAATTTCAACAGCACGCCATAAATTCCTAGATTGATTTCCATTTGACTTTCCAGGCAGCCGCTGGTTTCCATTCATTTAAGGATGATATGAGGCCTGCAGAGACTTGAAAGCTGCCTGTTATTCAATAATAGGTGACATTTAGAAGCCTTCAAAGTAAATATTTAGTTACATTTGATTCAGTCAAATGATTACTCCAATTGTAGTGGGACTTTTGTCGGAGAAGAAAATGGTGGGTATATGACCTTTGATTAGCAAAACGGATGTATATGGTGGCCTTTTTTTATGGTATTTTAAAGAGATAGAGTGGTGCAGGAATTAGTCCTCATCCCAGGAATGAGTTAGCATTGTAGCACACAGTCAATGTATTTTTTAAATAGTTGTTCATTGGATTATCAAAATAAGGTCAGTGGTTAACACAAGATCTTCACGTTTCGCCAAAAAGAAAAACGTCTGTAAATATTCACTGATAAATGCCAGGAACTTCTCCCTGACTTAAAAAACCCATTGCTAACAGCATGAGATGTTACCTTAGGCTAGTGAAACTGATGTAAATGTCCCCTTGTTTTATGGCATTTTACAGACCAAACAATTGAGTGGTCCGGGAACAAGTCTTAAACCCGGGAAATGAGTTAGCATTTTATCACTTGATGGCCCCCTTGTCTCCAAATCAATGTTTTTTGTAAGAAATGTTAGTTGGATTCTCAAAATAAGGTCTCAGGTTAATTCATGTTTATGAGATTTTTTACATTTTGTTGTACTCCATAAAATATGTCTGTAAATACTCACTGTTAAACGTCGGAAGCGTGTACGTGACTTAAAATCGGCGGTTGCTAACAAGTGGCTGTTGACGTAGTTCGTTTAAAGCATTATGTTAGCTCTATAATTCTAGCAATCGCATTTACGCTTCAACTCAATCCCATAGTTTCTTGTTGAAGGAAACCCTTGCAAGGCCTACTTCGCATCGGCCCACCAAATCCGTCTTCATTGCACCACTCGATTAATCAGGAATATATTTGTCAGATTAATTGATCGCTCAGGTGCTGCATCACAAGGAGCCTCTATCCAAGAAATGGACTCTCCTCACTTGCTCTCTCATTCCCCACTGTGTCACAATGCAAATGAACAAGCTCCCCTCTCTCCCCCTCCATACTCCCAACCTCTCCTCACTCCACACCCCCCGCCCCCCCTTCCTCCTCATGTTCCGAATCCGGCCTCCAATTTGTTCCACTTCCCCATACCTCATTGTTCAAAATGACACTTTTACATTTTATGGTGAACCAATTATTCTGTCTTACACAGTCCGCTGGCTCTGCAATCCAACCTGCCCGGATCAACTGGGGAGCGGGGTGGTGGTGGTGGTGGTGGGGGGGGAGGAGGTGGTCGGGTATGCGGAGAGAGAGAAAAGAGAGAAAGCGGAAGAAAGGGAAAAAAGACAACTAATAGTACCTCTTGCTGACATATCCACGGGGATGGGCAGGGGAGCTGGAAACTGAGAAGTTAGCGAAGGGAGAGGGTGGAGGCTGGAGGAGAGGTCAGGAGAGGGAAACAACACAGGTGGATGCTGATGCTGCGGAGAGGTGTGCGGGGCGTGAGAGTGAAGTGGATGTAGACAAAGGAGGATTTAATTGAATGATAAAGTGGTGCAGATAGAGTGAAAAGAGCGGAGGGAGAGAAGGGATAAATCACAGCAGGGATAAATAAAGAAGACGGAGCGCCGGGTTCCCCACCAGCTGTAATGTATGCCTGAGGATGAGCGGGAGGGTGTGTGTGGGACATTAAAAGAAAGGGAGACAAGAGAGTGAGAGCAGCGGAACGGAGGAGTGCGAGGAGCCGGAGGAAAGGAGGGATGGACAGGATATGCCGGGGAGAGGGCGAGGGAGGGAACTAGTGAACATGCGGAGAGAGGAAAAGGCAAGCAGCGTTTTTTACCTGTGAAGAGCCTGAGGGGGAAGGAGATAGGAGGAGGGATGGAAGTGTAGCTGCATGAAAACAGCGTGCAAAAAGATTTAAGGAAAGGATGGGGCGGGTCAGATGTATAATGCCTGGGGCAGGTGGGTGGAGAGAGAAGGAGAGAGGTGGAGGAGTGCGTGTTTTATGTTCTCTATGCAGTACAGCTGCAAACACCGATTATTTTTATATTCTTGATTTATGCATAGAATGTTTATTTATCCGTCGTTCAGTCTTTTAAAGCAAATAAATCAGGGAAAATATATGATTAAATAGTGATGAATAGCTGCTTGTTTTGTCAGAAAAAACTATTGAAATCTCAAAAATATTTAATCTAATATGATATATGTGACTGGATTTTAGCACTGCTCTCTCCATTTGATTAAATGATGATTCAGAAAGGCCTGACGTGAAGTGATTTGATTCTGCAGATCCACTTATATTAAATAAATAGCTATAATGTATTGACACACAATAAAAGCAAAAAAAAAGTTAAAAGGAAGTAAAGTAAAAAAAAACTGTTCTCCGAGCATTTAAATAAAAAAAACACAAATAAAGAATTAAAACCAAATAAGCACAACTATACCATTTATAACAAATAACCATAGTTAAAAAAAAAAGTTTAAAGGTCCCATGTCATGGCCATTTCTACTGATCATAATTCCATTGTTGAGGTATACTAGAATAGATTTACATTGCGCAATTTTCCAAACTCACATTGGTTTCTCATACAGCATCTCTGTATAGTATGTGTATTCACTCTCTGTCCTAAACGGCTTGTTGGAGCTCCTGCCCCCCCCTCCCCTCCCTGTGAGCCCAGTGGCCGTCTGCGAGACAGCGAGACACAGCGAAACCCAGCCCAAAACACACACACACCCGCAGCCTGGCTGGGAGTTTGTGTGTGTGCTCAGGCTGAGTTCCGTGGTGTCTCGCTGTCTCGCCGACCCCACACCAGTGAGCCAGCTCACAGTGTCCCACTCCTCGCAGCAGCGAGCCTCGCAACGTCCCGCCGAGTGTGTGTGTGACGAAACGGCTCCGCGGACGTAACGTAACGGCTCCGCGGATTGGTTCATTTGGTTACGTTACGTCACTATACCCAAATACGTCACTATGGAAAAAGAGAAATCTCCAACGAGGCGTTCTGGGGCAGCATAGACAGGTATTTTCTGTGTTAGAGTTTTACTCGCTACAGGGTGTATTTTGAGGGTTTGTGACTCTGCAGACCGTTTACATGCATAAAAAGCTACATAACACACAAGGGGACGGGTAATAACCAGAAAAGCATGACATGGGACCTTTAACACTTAAAATAATTTATATCTGATTATTACATTTGTTTAAGTCTTTTGATCGAGATTGATTGAGTCAATGAATAATGGGATATTTATTCTTTCAATTCTTATAACTTATTTTACTTTTTTCTTAGAGGCTTGACTCGATAATCCAAATCGGATTCACTACATTCTATTTAATTCAAAAAGTCATAAATCCCTTTTTTCAACCTGCGACCTGTTCACAAGTGGGTCTATGTTTGTGGGATTGATCACTGGCATAACAACCCCCCCTAATAGACCATATAAAGCTCCCTGTTTGTTAAACGGTTTCCTCAAAACAAAAATGTCGCCCATGAGTAAAAAAAACTCCTGCTGTCAGTAAAAGAAAGCATAACAAATTTAGCAGTGTCTGTAGTTGCTATAAGGGGACCTAAAACAATTAAAAACACATCATAAAATGTTATACTAGCACAGCTGCAGTGGCGTACTGTGACAGAAATAAAGAGGGGATGGTTGAGATGGAGTTAGAGGAGGCCATGAATAAGATGGATTGGGGCCAGGCAACGTGAAAAATACTAGACGAGAGAATAGAATGGAAACAGTGAACCATTGGGCGCCATAGAGCATGATGCTGGACAGAAACATGCATAAAAAGACCCATATATAGCTGTCTGAACTTTTCTACTAACTACATTATTGAACTCTTTGCTGCTGTGCCAAAATATGCCAAAAAGAAAGATACAATCTTAGAAAAACTTTCAAACTTTACAGGAAATTGGCGAGCCACCAGGGTGATGACATTTATTCTGTTTCTTTTCAAAGGTTCCGTTTGGGTTCCATTTGATCCTCTGTATGTCAGCAGGATTATGGAAAAAGTACTGGCTCGATATTTATGCAAGTTAGAAGAAGGAGTTGCATGGGCCATGGAAGAAACCATAACATGTGGGAGCAAATTACTTAATCCCAGGCAGATACACTTATTTTTCACTTCTTTAAACTTTGAATAGGGCAGGGCAGTCATTCACGTAATCGTACTTTACTAGAGTGCCCTTCTATTTACGTTAATTGTAGCTTTATCAATTATTATAGTTGATTTCAATTGTATATTTGACCTACTAATTCATTTATATTAGGGCATTATGATTCTAAAGTCAAACAAATATTTTTTTTCCAGTGGTGGATTAAGTCGACATGCCTGTGCATGGCATAAAAGAAAAAGAAAAGAAAAAAGTTGATACAGTTTTCTTTTTCATCATCGTAATTGAATGTGCCTTATGAGTTTATGACTCATAAACTTAGAATGAGTTAGCATTTTAGCACCTCTGGGTTTCATCATCTCAAAGTCAATGGTTTTCTGAATGAGATTATCAAACTGAACAAAAAATGAAAAGTAATCGTACACGTGCGTTTGCCACTTCTGCAATATTCCAAAACCCAATGAAAAACTCCCATTGCATTTAGTTCCAAAACTCTATAAATATCGCAAATTAACCCAATCAAAACTCACGAGGAGAGAGATATTTCATAATAATTCATTAGCCAATCAGCTTATCTGTCTTACCTGTGGTGAAATGTCTGAGGCAGGGTGGGTGGGGAGGTGGAGGGGGTGGCCAGGCCGGGTGAGTAAGGATGATACGGCGTCTTCTTCAGCGCCTGGATCAGGTTGTGTCTGTACTCGGGATCTATGGACCACAGAGAGCCTTTGCCTATGCTCTGAAAGAAAGAGAGAGATGAGAGAGACGTTATTGGAAGTGCCGGTGGGCCCCTCAAAGCACAAACACAAACACAGCGCGGCACACGGATGTCAGCCAACAAGTCCAAAGCCCAAACACAAGCTCAAAGTCCGGAGCCTTATTTACCAAACCACCTGTACACACACAGCAGTTATTCCCATATTCCCAAAGGAACATAACACTCGGAGGAATGAAAATGAACACATCCTCAATGCCACCGTGCTCAATATTTTCCAATCCTCTGCCTCTCCTCGGAAAATAAATCTGGAGGCTTTTTTCTGGTTAAGACACAGGGAAACTCTTTAACTTTTTTTCACTCCAGAGGCGATGATGATGCGTATTTTTAGATCAAAGCAGCTTTCCCCCTCACCTAATGAAGCTGTCGGCTCGCAATCTGAGTGAAACCAGCCTATAGATTACAGCGGAGGGAGGGATCTGGATGAAAATACATCCCCTGTCTCCATCTCTCACTGCACTTTCATCTGCCTTGTCATCTGAACGTGGCGAAATCTGGAGTTTGTGTACGGCAGACGCTGAGAATTGCAGGGGGGGGGGGGGGAATTAAATATAAAATGAAATTGGCTCATGTTCAGCTCACTTTGTAGTGCTCTGTGATATGATACGGGTACAGGCTACAGGGTGGGGAGGTGTCATGATGGCAGGCTTCTGATTTCCACAAATACTGCAAGAAATATTTGAAGAGGGAAACGTCAGATGTGCCAGATACACACCTTTAATGCTATCCACATCAGAGGATCAGTCACCAAAATTATAAAAAACACTCACTTATCTCTAGTAGTGTCTTGCCATGCAGCTCATTTCAGTTTACTAAGCCCTAAGAGTTTTTAGATGTTTTTGCCACATTTTAAAAGCTCATAATTAATATTGTTAAGCCCTATTTGCACAGGATTAGGGATAGAAATTATGTAATTGTTACCAATACCAGTGAAACTCTACAGTTTTCCATTCAAATTTTATTCAACAGGAACATTTTTAAATTAGCGGCTGATAACAGCCAACAGCTCACCTACTGCCGTTTTCAACACTGATATAATGTTCAGAGAGCATAATCAGGGGAAAAATAGTGTGAGTTCCATGGATCGACTACGTACCAAAAGTATTGCTTCTTGTGACACCCCTAGTGCTTCTATTAATAATTGCATAGGTCGTGTTATGTTGTCCTGTGTGAATGTGGATGAGTAATTCCTAAAACACATGAGGTCGCTTGTTAACAAGTGTGAAAGGGTTTTAGTCAGGATAATTCACTGACCTCATCGTAAGCTGTTTTCTTTGGAACCACTTCAAAGCATAGCTCCTACATTAGACTATTGGGGGACACCATTTCTGTGAAGAAATGTTACTGTTTCTCTGGTAAATTCTTTAGTAAATCATGAAAAAATTTGCCAAATTAGAACAATATTTAAAGAAAATAAACATTAGCAGATGTTGTTTTTTAGGCTTTCCCTCAATATCATGTTAATCATCTTGTGACAATTCAAGTTTATTCATATCAACATTATTTAGGAGCAACTTTCAAGTGATCACATGTTTGAGGAGAGACAACCAATCAGAGATGTATTTCACCTATTTTAAAACAAACCTTACATTTTCTCAGACCTTATCTTTTTCTATTAATGTTGTTATTATTTACATTTTTCAAGTTCATAATGTGTGAAATCTTTAATATGCCCAGCAGCGAGTTAAACACACCATAAACAACAATCTATACATCTCGGATGTCTAAACAGGGATGAAAGGAATGTTTGCACCCTGAAGGAACATAAGAAAAAGCCTCTGTAACATTATATCAAATGTGTTTTGACGATAACAACTTGAGAAAGAAGCAGCTTCAAATAGAGGCTAATGTTTCAGAAGGTGTTTGCATTAATTAGTTTCTATACTGCAGCCCCAAAGACCCCAGAAAAACAAATGTCAGAGATGTAAGCTTAAATACATTTTTTAGTCAGAAGAGATTAAACACATTTGCTTTTATTCTTGTAAGCAGGGCTAATAGTGAAACGTTTTGTTTAGAAATGTCCAATTGTAAGTCCTCAATTTGATACGATAACAGGCCACGACCCCCAGGTAAACTGCACTAATGTGTTACAATGACTTCTATTAAAGTATTGTATTCAACTTTTGACAGGAAGTGCTCACAACCTGTTCTTCTAAATCGAAAGAACCTGAAATATTGTTTATTAAACAAAGTACAAAACTGACAGTTTAACTGCAAAGGACAAAAAAACGTGCGTGTCAAAAATAAAATGTAAAATACACATTTTGAACTTTAGTATTTACAAACACTAGTGTTTTGATAATCCTCAAAACACTTGATTTTAATCTTTAAATGTCAAGTTACATTTTTGACATTTAGAATTTAATTAAAAAAAAATATATCTTTCTGCTATCTCGAACTTTTTTGAATTCTCAAACTTTCAGACTTTATTTTCAAAATATAAAAAGCAAAGGAAAAGTTCCTTTCTTTGACTCTTTTCTTCTTACGTCTGGCAGAAATGAAAGTTTGACTTTACTCAGCACATTCTGACTTTATTCTTGATATAAAATAAATTCTCCTCTGAATCATTTTTGGACATTTAAACTTTAATTTCCAAATAAGAAATGTTTTCTTCACTAAAGAAATATTAATATTATTTATTTTTTGTTTAATACATTCCTCTACATACTATAGGACAATACACACTGTCCTTTCTCTAATGGCATGCAGAGCCTCTGTGGTCAGTGTCTCTCGGCGTGTCCCCTGATCCCAGGATGTCCAGTGAATCAGTCAGACCTGTGCTCCCTCTTACTACACCATGTGACCTTGTAAGAACGCGAGGAGCTAATGGCATGTGTGCGCACTGTTGATTTGTTTCCCCCCCGCTGAGATCTTTGCATTAGTATGTGAGCGGTGTTGAACACGGGCCATATGTGCCGTGTTTTGCCTGGTGTGTATGTGTGTGTGAAGAGGGGTGAGTGTGTGTATGGCAAGTTCCCTAGGGAGTGTGATATTACCCAGCGTGGTGTGCTCCTGGGAGTGCTTCTATTACTGCCAGCAACGCCTCTCCTGGAGAGCATGATATTACACACACATACACTCGCTCCCACAGAGGTGACCCCCACTGGGCCAAATTTCCCCTCACACCTCCAGCCCGACAGCCGTTTGTGTATATATATTTATATATGTGTGTGTGTGTGTGTGTGTGTGTGTGTGGCAGCATGCCAGCCAGATTAAATCAATGCTTTCTGCAAAATCTCTGTCTGCCGGGGCCCATTCCTCCCAACCAGACAGCCAATCATAAAGCGAGATGTGTAGACCCCCCTCATGTCGATAGGCCAATCATAGGGTACGGCTCACAGGAAGGGTCTGTCACCTGGGTTATAGTGGTCGCCTTGGCAACAGGCATCATCTGGGCTTGGAAACGAGAGGAGGGGAAATTTCATTTTCTCGCAAATTCGCAAAGTTGGGAAAAGGCAGCATGTCTCGAAATCGATTATCACGAAAAGTATTTCAGGTCAGAGATTGGTTTCAAGTTTTCGGAGGGGTTCAACTTTGATACACAGTTTTTTTATTCTTGTATCTTGCAGCAGGTGATAGAGGACCCTGGTTTTCACTTTGACCTGAAACTGTGTTTATTTCCTCCCTCCATCCTCTGATCCCAGCTGCTTTCACTCCTCAGCTACGAGCACTATTTTCTGGATGATAGGTTTTTTTGTGCATGCTGGAAAATAGTCACATCTCTCTACCATTTGCAGATAAAGAGCAGGATTACACAACAAATAATCCACAAGTCGAAACCCCTACTTCAAGAAATATCTCACAGTGTGAAACCAGTACAGCATTAATCTTCAAATCATAATTTTAAGCGATATTAAACTTAAACTCAACGTAATTATATGCATCTGTGTCACTACACAAGTAAGTAGTAGTTGCGATCAAGAAAGCAGCACATTCTGAAACGAGTTGGTGTTATAAAACTGCACAATCCTGAGCAAATGCACAGATATTTTCATGATGGAGAAAACACATACTGCCCTGGACACGTCATAGTGTGAGTAAAAGACAAAAGGGGAAGAAAGAGGAGACAAAGGCGGAGGGGGAGAGGTGGAGAGAGAGAGAGAGTGAGTGTGTGTTGCCAACATCTGTTTCCTGTGTTATATAAGCTGTGGGGGCTGGTCTCCAATGGAAATGGGAGATATTAAAAAGTCCTGCTGCCACTGACCCCGCTAGTAACACTACACTACTGCTACTGCATTCCTATCTGCACCATTATCTTCTCACATATACATTTACCACACATCAAAATGTATTTCATTTCTTGAAATGTGTAAGGTCGGTTCATTTCAGAAAACACAATTCACAGAAATATATAAAAAAGCTGTACTTAAACTAATAAAATGTTCATATTATCACTAACTATATTTTGTGAATTTAGCAAATACTTTATTGTATAGTTTAATGAGCTGAAGGACTGGTTTGCCATTTTTGAAAATACACTTTCTTGCCGAGTTATATGAGAAGATTGATACTACTGTACGCTACATACAGTATGAAGCTAATGCTAGTTAGCTTAACTTAGCATAAAGATTGAAACGGGGTAAACTAAAGCTTATCAATTAACACATTATATATATTTTTTTAATGCATACAAAAACAATAACTAGACTTTTGGGTTTTTAAATTAATATTAAGACAACAAAAACAAAACACATTACTGAACTGAATTAGTGTTTACACATTTAAGAGTCTTGCTAGCAGCTTTCCGGAGATTCCAGGCTTTAGGCTAGGCAATGCTAACTGTGTAACAGCAGTTGTTCATTTTTATTTGTAATGGTAACAATGGCATTATCATCCACCTCTCAGCAAAAAAACTAATAAGCACATTTCCCAACATGTTGAACTCCTTTAAAGAATCCATATTGTTCTTGAGTAAAACTTTAAAAATGAATGCTACTTACAGGTTTTGCTTGTGAGCCTAAAGC